GGCAGCAGGGTGCAGGGGCTGTGGCACCTCGGGGTCTGGGGAGAGGCCTCTGTGCTCAGCTGTCCTCCTGCCACCCTGGTCGTCCCCCTGAGACAGGTAAAGATGCTGCAAGAGGGCAAAGTGCAGGAACGGGATGGACACTGGGACTTGTTAGTGGTAAAGCCTTCCTTGGTGGTGATGGAGACCATGATCTGGCTGTACTTCCTCCTTATTACAGAGGTTAGTGGAGGTTTCCTGCGTGTTGTAGCCAGTTTGCTGGGGTGGCTTTTCCTTCTAGTGGTGTGGGAACAGCACAAGCTGGGAGTGTTTCCCCATCCTTTGCCTTGAGCCTGTCTTGGGAAGGGGGCTACCTACCTTGGCGTAGGTGCAGGTGTCGGAGAGCAGCCAAAATGAGCAGTTCTGGTCACAGAGCGGGCACATGATGGTGTTACTGGCTTCACAGATCTCCTTGCTAGAGAGAAAGGCGTAGAGGGAAGCAAAGGGGAATAACAGTGTCTCAAAGCCACATGCATAGAAAAGGCTCATGAACGGAATGCACGTTCAGCATTCCCAACTGCCTTACCTCACCTGGCTGGAACTGAAAACAGTAATCCCAGCCACGAAGACCACCGTTCCAACCACTGCCGCGATTCCCAGCAAGTAGGTGTACCAGCCCAGCCAGGCAAAGTACAGGGCCACCTTCTCACCGAAATAGCACCTGGAAGGAAAGATGAGATGTGCTTTGGGGCCAGTGGAGGAGACCATATTGCTCGGGATCACTAGAAAATGCTCTTCCACCCCCAAAGGGATATCGGGTCTAGGAGGGGCAGTGCTGTCTGCATGTCTGGGGATTTTGTTGGGATTGGGAGAGTCAGCCCAACTGAGTAGAGGAGCTGGAGGGACCGCGTGCAGCATTTCCCAGGGGATTTCAGCAGCAGCATGTGCAAGGAGAGCGAGCTGGCTCTCCTTGTGCTCTGACTGCATGGGAAGGCAGTGAAGTGCATTGTGGACATCACTGTGGGGCTGCACGGCAAAGATGTGCTGAGGGCACAGCTCTGGCTGAGAGGTGAACTCAGGATGGAGAGCAACGCAAGGCCGTTGTGGGGGCTGGCTTGGTCTACACCGTGTGGTGTAGGGCATGCTGTCCTGCAGGGGTTTAGAGAAGCCTGTGAGAAGGCTTCTCCTGTTCTTAAGTCAGCCTGGTGACTGATACAAACTAAGGAATGAGATTTCATTTCTTTTTTTCTTCTTTTTTTTTTTTTCCTTTCCCCCCTTGGTTAATATGCCACAGGGAGAGCCACTCTTGCTGATGCCTGCTTCCGTGTGAAGTGGGCATGGTCCCACAGGCACTGCTTCTGCCTTTCCGTGAAGGGAGCCCAGAGGGTCTAACTCAAGGGGAGATGCCTGCATGTGGTCAGGCTGACCGTATGCCAGGTAAGAGGGGTGGGAATGGTTGGGAGACCAAGTTGCAATCAGTGTCTACAGAACAATTTTAGAAATGCCGGGCTTGAAGAAGATAAGGGAGCTGCGGGGTGCGGTGTTTCTCAAACCAGAGCAATTTCTCCTTCTGGGCCCAGCTATCTCCCTGCAGTGCTTTCACATCTCATTCTTATGGTGGCAGTATCTCATTTTTCTTTGGTGTGGGGAAGAGGGTTGGAGGCATGGGTAAGAAATGATGGTAACTACTGACTGATGGACCTGCCTCCCCTCCTGTATTCCAGAGGAATTCACTTTCTACCAGTAGTCAAAGGTGGTGATGTGCTCCCTGGCCTTTTTTTAAAACAAACCAAAAACCCCAACGCTCCCCTTGCCCCCCCCAGCCCAATTTCATACTCAGTCCCTTAATCCTTCTGTGATAACAAGAAGTCATGATGCATTGACCTTAGAAACGATGAGTTGTCTGACCTTGTGCACCATGGAGGCGTCAAGAGTCCCTAGTGCCTCTGCTAGACTTGTAAACTGTAATAAACATTTAAGGAAGTAGAGCACATCTCCATTTTAACATTTCACTTCCCTAACAGAGCCTACTGACAACTTTATGAAGTAGCATGTTCTTTTTGCCCTTCTTCCCCTGGCTACGGAGCGTTAGCTTTCTCCCCCTTTTAAAATAAGAGCTGTGCTCTTCCTTGAGTTTTAATGTGGTTATAGGAGCCCCTTGTTGCCTTTAATGCCCCAAGTTCAGTCTCAGGCTGGATGTGCTGCACTGATGCTCTGTTCCCACTTCGCCTTCCTTTTGAACGTGGGAGCGTGTGGTTGAAAATGAAACGGGCTAATTAAAAACCATGCAGATGTGAGGATTGTTTCATACTGCAAAACTAGCAGATGGAGCTCAGTGCCACAGGGATACCCCTTACGGTAAGAACTCTGCAGGCTTCAGAAGAAGCCCGGTATGTATGAGAAGAGCCAGGTTCAAACTAATGATTTAAAAGAAAACACGGGAGCCTGGCAAAGGGCATAAAGCTCTCTGGGTTTCAGGTGGGAACTCTTGGTTAGAAGGATCTGCTGTGCCTCTTCTGCCTGTGTTACCTGATCTTCTCAATCGGCTGTTGGCAAAATATACCTCTCCAGCGAGCCCATTTCTCCTTTAGGAATTCCCTTACCTCTTCTTTCTGGGGAGCAGAGAAGTTGGTTGGATACAGGATTATTAGGGCAACCTTAATCCCCAGGCCAGCTCCCAGGCTGCTGTTGGGAGCTTTGTTGTGCCCTTCATCCAGGGAGGTCTTGATGCAGCCCCAGTTACCCAAAGGTCTCCCCCACCCGGCCTTGCTCCTTCGCCTCTCGTGGCTTTTCCTCCCAGGCACCCATGTGCTCAGCCTCACCTCGTGCAGGGGAAACGTCGCTTCAAAGACCTTCTTCTTCATCAGGTCATGCAGCTTCTCTGGTAGCAGAGCAGAACGGAGAGGATTAGTGAAGCTTTGCTCTCACCCCATGTGCTCCCTGCCAGGCAGAATCACCCCAAACCTTTTCTGGAGCCTTTGAGGGGGGCGAAAAAAAAACCACCACCTGGGAGAGGCTGAGCTATTCAAAAGGGATCAGCACTAATCCTTGTGGTTGTGCTACTCTGCTGGGCTGCCGCAGGCTGCGTTGTGGCTGGCTCTGGGAGCAAGCCAGGTAGGCAGGTCCTTAGATACAGCTAGAAAGCCAGCACCCTGTGCTGCCCTGCTCGTCCTGGGGTGTCAGAGAGGGATGAGCTCTTCTGGGGACACGGGAGAGCGGTGGTTGGCAGCTGAGGTCAGGGGTTTGGGGAGAGGGAGTAGAGGGCTGTTGCTGGTTCCTGCAGTCCAAATCTCCCAGCCCCTGGATGCAGCAGCAAATTTACTTGTCTGAGCTGCACCCTGGCTTTCTCCCCACTTCTGCATCCTCCCCGTGGGTGGTGAGGCAGCTGGGGATGCCTGTGCCCACCATGGGGCAGGAGCCTTCCTGCAGATCCAGGCTGAGCATCACCCCTGCTGGCCCTGTTCCCTTACCGCGGTCGGGCGTCGTCGTATTCTGCAGGATGAAGTTCACGATCCGTATCCTGAGCAAGGAGAAACTGTGGTTAAAGGCTGCTCTGGGGATACAGACTTGTGTTGTGTGGCCCTGGAAAACAGGGGAGGGAAGGGAGAAGGTGTGCACCAAAATCCAGGGAAGGAAGGGGGGAAGAAATCGGGAGCTGGCTGTGGACAATGAGAAGCCAGCAAGTTTGCACGTGGTAGGTGGAGGTGGCCTTCTGTGGAAAATGAAAAGCCTGGCGCAACTGTGAGCTGACCTGGAAACTGGATGCTGGTGCAGAGAAAGGGGAGTGCAAGATGCTGGAAGTCAGTAGCCCGGCTCAGCACCCACCTGGTGGTCACTGGTATGTCTTGATGGACGTTGGGGTTTTGCAGCCTGTTGTCGGGTTTCCTCAGGAGCCCCTGGTATTTCTGGAAGATCTGTTTTGGGGCACGGACTCCATAAAACAGCTTCTTATCCTCAATTTTCTAGTGGGTGGAAGAGAAGGGCTGTTAGAACGATGCTGGCAGAGCCAGAGGGGCAGGGAAAGGGGCAGAGCTGCGAGGGCCAGGGGCCATGTGAGTCCTGGGGCTGGGCTCTCCCCTGGTTGAGCAAGTGGTTTATTTTCCAGCACTGATATGGTGATCAGCTCAATGGTTCAGGTCACTCCCATCTCCTGAGATGCAGAAGCCTGAACTGGGCTTGGATCCTGGGTACCACAAGAGAGCCAAGTATCTGCTGCCTTTTCTTCCTGCAGCCCCTCACCTTGATGGTGAACCCCTTCTTGCTCAGCTCATCCAGGAACTTCTTCCTCTTGATCTCCTTCTCGCTGCCCGCTTCGTGGATGTCGCTTACCAGGATGAAATCCCACTTCTCTTCATCCTGCCCACAGAAAACACCAGGGAATTTATCGAGGTGGCAAGCCGAGAGCTCTCCCTCTCAGCCCCAGCCTCTCAGAGGTTTGGACCTTCATCATGACTGTGTAGAGGGCCCCTGGGAACTGGGAGTGAGCAGGAGAATGGGGATGGGGAAACTGAGACAGCTGCTGCCTCGACACTGCCCTGCTCCCCTCTTTGAGCTGTGCTGAACTCGCTGTGAGTGCAGAGGGAGCAAAGCTTACCGGGGGGGCAAACGGGTCTCTCTCTTCGACAGGAAAATCCCTCCAGGGAGTCAACAGAATTTCATCCTGTGGAAGAGAAAACCAGTGAAGGCTTCAGCGGGCTCCCTGGGAGATCCCGTCTCTGGGCATGGAGCAAACCTCTCCCTGCAAATGTTTTGACGGCATTGCGATGCCCTGGATCAGAGCAGGAGATCCCCAGAAGCCTGGGGGCATCGAGATCAAGCTGCCCTGCTCCGGGTGGTGAGTGCAGGTGAGCAGTGCTCTGCTTGTGGTACACAGAAAGCTGCCTGTCAGCAAAGCCCGCTTGGCATTTAGGTGCTCTAGGGTGTGTCATTGGTCGTACTCGCAGTATATCAAAAAAGACAGAACCCATGTAGATAAAATTGCATTACAACATAAGATCAAGATCCACCTGGCCCAGTTTTCCTCTCCCAGCAGCCACAAGGGGACGCCTGGGGAGGAGGGTATGAGCAGGCTTGTCTGAAACCTTCTCCCATACGCTCCTGCTCTCCAGTTTGGATTCTTCCTGAGTCAAATATGGCTTCGTGTTTAGGGATCCTGGAGGGACCACTGCTCTGTGTGTGCAGCCTCCTCTTGAACTCATGTAATGCCCAACATTTATGGCACCCTGGGTTGCAAGGGAGCCAGATGGGAGGGGAAAAAAAAAACCACCCTCCCTTTGCTCTGGACTTTGCTCCATCCTGTTTCACCTCATGTCCTGACATTTGTACTGGAAGAGTGTCAACACTTAACTATCTTGCCATGCTACAGTGGTTTTTACAATCTTTAATCAACCTTTTCCCCTCTTTAGTTGTTCCTTTCAGATAGGGCACTGTTAACTTTTTGGCAAGGGTGGGGAAGGTAGTTTTAAATTCCGGTGAAGGGAGAGTGGGGCACGGACAATCGGAGGCTTACACAACCCTGCAGACTGCAGCAAAGCAGGTGAAAAACGAGTTCTTGGGAAAACACCTCAGATGCCTCAGTCTGCAGCCTAGGGGCAGAGAGGGGAAGGTGAGCTGCTGATGTTTGTACCTGGTTCCCTCCCGTGTGCTACCGGCTCCAAAGAGAGAAGCTGCACAGGGGCGAACGCAGCTGCTCACCTTCATTATTTAAGCCTGATAATGCTCAGACACCCAAGTGGTGTGGCTCTGGGGGTGCATGAAGGAAATAAGGCGGCCCTGTGGCAGCAGCTGCCCTCTGCCTGGCATGATTTCCCAGCCCGGGGTGCCCCTCCGCCAAAGGATGCTGCAGTGAGCACTCCTGGGTGGGTGCCCAGAACTGGAGCACATTAGCTTCAAACCACTTTGTCCCTGTCCTCTACGCCTGGCTTCCCTGATGTGATCTCAGCCTGGTTTTGCAGCCATAGTTCTCTTTTAGGCAAGGGGGGATTAGTCCAACCAGCCTTTCAATGGATTGGCAAGAGCACGCCGGGCTTCAGGTCCCAGTGAATGTAATGAGTTTAATAAAGACACGCTCTGCAGGCCGTACTGTGACAGGGGCAGGGAATGGATCCCGTCTTAAAAACAGCATATTTTGGGTTTTTTGCAGTTCTCTGATGTGACTCATGGTGCAGCCCCACAAACAGTTATGCTGCCTGTCCCGAGGGCACGGTATCACAGCACAGAAGTGGGAACGAGCTGCCAGGGGATCGGGAATATCATCAGTCAGTACCGCCACCAAAGACATTGTGACCTGAAACAGCAGCCAGCCAGACAAGTTCATCCAGCTGTAATCTCAGGAGCAGAGCAGTGGTGGTGAAACCATGCCCTGATGTAAGATCCGGATCCCAAGCTTTCACTGAAGAATGAGGCCATAGAAGCAGGAGAGACTGGGATGAGGAAAGGGCTGAAATGCTCTGCCAAATCCTCTCTTATGTGGAGCTAGGGCCCTGGCTTCCCGTAAAGCAAAAGGGCCATGGGAGACTGACCAACAGAAAGCCAAAGTGAAAAGGCTTGAGAAGAGGGATGTTCTCCCCCAGAGATGCTGTTGTAGTAAGGACCAGCACTTCCCACTGCTAAAAGGTGCCCCAATTTAGGCCAAGATGCAGAGAGGGGTTTGTGGTGGTGTCCTCTGCTCTGCCAAAGCCCTGGAGCAGGCTTTGGGGTCGGAAAATTGGGTTTTGGCTCCGGTTGGTCTCCCCACGTGGGTAAGCACCTAGCTGGTGCAGCAGCTGTCCCTGGCCAAAAGCCCCCCTCTGGGCACAGGGGAGGGAGTAGGAGTCCCGGTGGGGCTCTGCCCCGTTGCTGATGCTCTGATGCTGGCACAGATCTAGTCTGGCACCACCTCTCCGCAGGTCGTGTTGTCTCATCCCTGCCTAGCTGGTTTCTCTCAGCCCGCATGTGCACCAGCCTCATCCTGCAAAGACTGCCTGTTGGGGCTGCCAGCCTTCCAGCTCTACCAGTGATCCCTGCAACGTGGAGGGGAAACCACCCTTTGGGGACAGGGGGGTTTCAAGGTGTTCCTAGATGCCACTGGGGTCGGCACCTCTATACGGCTGTCCCGCTGGTGTTAACCCCAACAGAGCTCAGGAGGAGGTAAATGGACCTGCTAGCATCACAGCTTCTGTTTCCAGGTGGCTCCCAGCTCCACCGTCTGCAGGCATGGTCCCCTGCTCAGAAGTCAAAGCGTCCTGACCAGCACATCCATTTCCTAGGGAAGAGGCTGATGGGATTACCAAGGTAGGCTCACAAGTGGGACGTATCCGGCCATGGGGCTTGGTCTGTGTAGCCAGGCTGGGGGGCTGGAGTATTGGAAGCCTTACCCCCAGATCCCTGATGGCGCTACCAGCCCCTGCCCATGCCTCAGGGCCTTCCCCATGGGGAGAGCGTTGGGGCTGAGCCTGCAGAGCTTCAGCAGAGCATCCTTCCTCCACCAGCACTCCCAGTTGTAACACTGCTGGTCTCTCAGACCTGACGCAGCCAGATCCTGTCCCTGCTTCTCCATGTTCCTGAAATAGCAAGCACTGATTTTAATCCCATGAGGGACTTGTTGCTTCCTAATTTTCCAGCCAAGCCCTAAGAATCGGTGGGGATGCTTCTCACACCACCCCTGTACGGCTCTCTAGGCAATAAGGGTGTCGTGGTAGCAGGGTTTGGCTTTTCTCTGTGTTCCCATAGCAACGTAATTTACCGCCTGGTACCCGCTCTGCAGCCATCGCGAGCACCTCTGCATAGGACTGAAAAATGGGGAGGAATTTGCAAATTATTTGCAGATTAGCACAGACAATTCCCAGTACCCACCTCTGGAGTGGTAACAGATAAAAATTGCATTCAGCTGAAGAGGG